TAAATAAATAAATAAAGCCTAAGTCCAACAATAAAAATACTGTAAAATATTATAGTTATGTTTGGCTTGATAACCCAATGGCTCCCTCTGCAGGATGACAATTTATTCAGATAAAATGTATTGCTTTTTAACTGACGCATTTCTCAAGGTGTTTTCAAGGAAGAAAACTGATATATTCCTGGGATCCGTGAATTCTTTATGTTTGGACATAAATATGAATTATGTGCAAAATGGATATACAAGGATATCCTACATGCATATTGGATTTAAACTGCTATCTCACTTTACATCACTCTCTAAACTTTCTAATCTTCTTGTCCACTGCCAAGCTTATGACAATCTTTGCATGCCTCCTTAAAATAGAGATCTCATGTACGCTGTGTTTCCCTCTTTACTCTCCATTCATTTCAGATATTTTGTTTGACAAGGTTTCATTATTTTCTAGAGAATATTATGGCTAAATAATAGAAAAATAGGAGCATAAAAAGACCTTCACTCAGAAAAAACATGCCTTGTTAGTCTAAAAATACAGTTCTGAAGCATTTATATTCTGTTTTGTAATGTCTCAAGGACCAGTCATTAAGACATTTAAAAMGTAAAACTTGGGACATACTGTTAACTGGGAAAGATTCTGCCCACTTGAAGCAGCAATATGTCCACTTCTAATCACTGATTTCTCATTTCACCTTGGAAATGGAGAGTGTATGTTCACCCAGATTACTTTTAAAAGTTGAGTATCTCTTACAATAATACCCTAATCTGGATGTTTGAAATGTAGTTAGAGAAAACTCAAAGTAAATATAAATATTATTCTATTGCACATTATTGCAACAATAGGCACCAAAAAGCTGTTATAATACAGTTATTGAAGCAAATGTTTCCAACTGTCAGTACAATTCATAGCAATTGTCTTCAAACAAGGCATGCTATTAACTTTAATGGAAGCAACATCAGTCCAGGAGGAAGACAGTTATATCTAAGCTTTTAGTTAAAATCTTAAACACATGTAAAAATCATGAACTGTTTTGTGTAGCCATAGATAGCTACATTAGTGGAACTACTTACTGAGTATTTTTAGATGTTATTTTACACTCCAAATATCCTAAATACTAATATCCTACTAGTCATATGTCTATCATCTTTTCATCACAACAGAAAAATAGGTCATTCTTTATTTTAGAATTTATGTAAAGAACATTTTCCTATATATTTTTTCTTCTGTTATTTCCTTTATCATATTCCTCTCCTGTTCTACTATCCTGTAMTGCAAAAGCTTTCAGATAACCGAAAAACTGTAAAATAAGCATATTTCCATTATTTGTACAGTCATTTTCATTGTTTTCTTAGTAGTACACAGAAAACATTTACTTTTCAACCATCTGTAGAAGTGGTTGCGTCATGATTAATAGAACCTGCCTTATGAATCAGAGGTGTAGAATGGTCTTGCGTGCCACGATGCAGGATATGCTGCCCAACATGGGAGACAAATGCCAACATTGTCTATCCAAAACACAATATGAATTCAGTGCTGAAAGAGGCCTTGGAAGYGGACAAAATCCTCTTCTAAATTTTGCCCCATGGAGGATAGTCAGAGTTCAGATTCAATAGCCCACAAAACATACCTCAAGCGCTCCTCAGACCCAGCTACCAGATATGATACTAAAACGGTAATGAAACAAGTTTTTACTATCTAGGCAGCATATTTACTAATATCTGGTGTATGGGAGGAAGATGTTGCCTGATTTTGTAAGGTCCTCTCCCTGGAGCTTTCAGCATGCCTTAGAAAAAGGTACCTGCAAATGGAATCAGCAGAGATACAATTCATGATCTCAGTCACGGCCCGAGTACCACATAGGTACTTAGTACTCAACTCACCTAGCAGAGCAAGCCAAATGAAAGGCCCGTGTTGAGGTGTATTGAGTGTGCATTGCTGCCAGTCACTTAGCTAAGCCATGGAGACTTAGAGGAGTACTTCCCCATTTGTGATCTGAAATCCATTCATCACAGAAACAAAAATTCCATTTTATCTATCCTGGAAGTTTGTTAAAGTAGCATAAATTTTGTGAACATAAAGAAGATAGCAACCTTCTGTCTGGATATATTTTTGGAATATGTACATAAACTCCTGGAATTATAACAGTGATAGATGCTATATTTCCTATGTAAGTCCAYATATATTATTCCATCATCTGTCAAACACATCAGTATATATGCAATATAAATAAAATAGAATCAGATGTGAAACAGTCAATCTTCTCACTTCTCACACATGCAGCAGCAATGTGTAATGAAAATAGGCTTTTATGAAACAGGCTTTCCTGTCTCTAGGAGCTGAACTAACCACAAGAGGGTGGACAAACACCATAGAAAAACAGTGAATTGCGACTGGTAGGACAGCCACATTGGAGGAAGAGTTTGAATCTGTAGCTAATAACCTGCATTCTGACTTGTAATGAAAATCAGTTTCACTTCCCGTTAAGCTTTATTCAATACAAGCAGTTCTTCGATGCTAACCTGTTAAATGAGGGAAGCATTCATAATGTTCAGCTCTGGCTAGATAAATTACACGCAGCGCCAGGTCAAAGCAGCAGGCAAAGTGGCACTCAGTGTCAGACAACTGGGAATGAAAGGCTGCTCTATTTGCTCCTGTCAGAAGAAAAACAGATTAGCTATTGCAATTTAAACAGCTGCATCTGCTCCCACTTTTGACCTTGTTATTGCTGCCACAGGAGGAAGGCATGTGGAAGTATCAGTGCAATTCAAAAGGGGCAGTGAGCTCACAACCTTTAATAGCTGCAGGAACAGTCATCCACACCATCTGGGACTCTTCTCAGCTTTAGCCTAACCCCTCCTCCTCATCTTTCCCTTCATCAGATTAAAAAAAAATCAGTGTTGTATTGTATAGGCTCATTAACTGCAGTGAAATAGAGTACATTACTTCTCAGCACACCTTAAATAAATGTCACGGAATACCACTAAGGCAAATTATATTGTCCAACCTGTCCATTCGTCTTGGAGTTTCACTCTGTTATATACAGATTATATATATTTTTTCCATTAAAGCAATAATTTATATTTTTCTTACCTGAAAGAAACATATCTTCTTAGATTTTATTGAAAGAGATTCTCATATTTTCTTTACAAAAATTAAATGGAATCTTGCAATGCTATTTTTCCCAGTACCTAATGATAMTCTCCAAGCTGTCTCCAGCAGGTGGTGATACTAAAGCATCTCCCTCTTACTGGGAAAAAATTTTACACTGAAAACACATTAATATAAATGGTTGAAGATTTGRTTCTTTACATTGAAATAAGTAAGCTTTGTAAAGGAAGATTATTTGAAATCCTAAGACAATTTACTTATGCATCCGTAGGAAAACAAAAATAACAAACATGAAAGAAACACAGACAAGTGTTTATCTATCCATCTATACAGATATAATTCTGTCTAGAAAACAGACTGGACTCTATATGTTTTTTTAAAGATGACACAAAGAGCCAAGTTACCAATGCTGATACTCTAGACAGACACATGTATAAGGAATTACCCTCTTCAAAAACACAGGCACAAACATAGTCATTTACTTGTTCTCAGCTGAAGTCACTCAGTACTCCCAGGAACTAGCTGAAAGCTTCTGTGTTTGGGCTGTTATTTTTAAAAAATTTTATTCTTGGCCACTTTGTAAATTGTTGGTGCTGTTATTTAGCATGTCTCCCCTGTTTCTCTTATAAAGTTTGTTTTATAGCAAAAGCAAATCATTTTTAGTTGCTTTTTTCACAGCTTTCACCAAGATGGAAAAGCTGTAGTTACAGACGCACACAGCCCTGTTAGCAGACAGAGGAATAACATCAGTGTAATGGATGTGCAAGAGAATGAAGCACCATAATTCAAAGTAGTTCTCTAACTCACTAATCCAACGCTGGCAGGTAGCTGTGTCTGAGGCAGAATTGTGCTGTCATTTTCTAACAGCAAAACTTAAAAAAGTGAGAAAACATTCTGTATCTGTTCTGCCTAAGCTCCAMGCAGGACAATTATTACTCTTCCTGCAACTTAGGAAAAAGTTACCCTGCTCTTCTCTGTTAGCTTTGCCAAAGTGCCACAGCATATTTAACACACCCACAATCAGTATCAGACAAGGTTCCTGCTGCATAGGCAGAAAGAAAAACAAAAGATGTAAAAAGAAGATGCATAAAGCACTATATTGTAAGATAAAAAGGTATCTCCTTTTTCTTTTCCACTGATCTTTTTCCACTGATGCTTTGATTTCTATGTTTTTTCTCACAACAAGGCTGAGGGTTCTCACCAAGATAATGGCCTGCAGAGTACACAGGGGCAGCTTTCTCATGGATATCACTTCTTTTTTTTTTTTTTTTCTCCTGCAAAGCTCAGATTCAGGCTGAGTAAACTCCGGACAACTCAAACTCAAAACACTCCTCCCTCTTTCCTAGTAACTCTGTGCACCAGGAGTGCTTGCAGAACAGAGAATCATAGGATAACCTAGGTAGGAAGGGACCTCAAGGAATACCTAGTCTAACCGATTCCTCAAAATAAGGTCAGCTCAGAGGTCAGCTTTATCCAGTCAGGTCTTGAAACTCTACAGGTGTGAAGATGGCACAACATCCTGAGCAGCCTGTTTCTCTGCTTGGCTGTYCTCACAGTGAAAAGGCTTTTCCTTACATCTGAACTTCTCTTGTTTCAGTTTATGCCTGCTGTCTCTTGTCTTTCCACCAWGCATCACCCTCAAGAGCCTGGTTCCATCATCTTTAAATCTCTTCATAGTACTGGAAGCCTGCCATTAGGTTCTTYTGAAGGCTCTTCTTCTCCAGGCTGACCAAGCCTGATTTCCCCAGACTCTTCTCACAGGACATATGCTCCTGCCCCCATCATCTTGATGGCCTATGTTGAACCCACTCCAGTCTGCAAATGTCTGTCCTGTACTGGGGAGCCCAAAACTGAAGGAACTATCTAGATGTGGTCTAACAAGTGCTGGATCAAGGGGGATAATCACTTCTCTTGCTCTGCTGGCTACACTCCTGTTAGTGCAGTCCAGGTGCTGTTCTTGCCCTTCTTTGCTGCTGAGGCACACTGGGCTCATRCTCAGCTCCTTGTCCAACATGACCAGAGGTCCTTTTCTGCAGAGCTGTTCCAGGCAGTCAGGCCCCTAAGCTATATTGTTGCACAGGGTGTTTCCTTCCCAGAGGCAAAACTTCACCTTGTCCTTGTTGAGTTTCATAAAGTTTCTGTTAGCCCATTCATTTTGATTCAGATCCTTGTAAAGATCAGCCCTGCTCTCCAGCCTAYGAACTGGTCCCTCCCACTTTGGTGTCATCTTCAAACGACAATTATACACTGCCAGCTTCTCCAGGTCATTGATAAAGATGTTAAAAAGGGCAGGTCTCAGGACACACTGCTGTGGTACTCTACTGGTTACTGGCCTCCCAACCCATTAACCACTACGATACATTTTCAGAAAATACAGTTCAAAACATCCATCAACAAGATAGGTACAGAGGTAAAGATTTCAGTATTGTGACCACAACTGCCTGCAGGGCTTCAGATGAACTTCTTCAAAATGGTTTCTATTGGTAGCCCACAGTTACTATATCTCAAACCAGTTTTAGTCCAAAGAGTCCACTGGCTGAAGAGCATCAGAGCCTAGAGTCTCTTTAGCTCATCTCTATAGTGGCTTTACTTGGATAACATTTACTTTTGTCCCACCGTGTTTACTGTTTTCCTCTGTTTGCTGAGTGTCATCACTGGTGATAATAAAAATTATAGAGGAGGAGCTGAAAGTCACTTTTTTCTTTGGTCTGTCCCCTACTTTCTGTGACATAACGATTGGTCTTATTGGTTTGTCGCTCTCTGTTGCTGGTGTCTCTTTCACAGTCYTTTGGAATCTCATCAGGCGAAAGCACAGGAGTTGCAAGAGGCATCGTCGAAACTGCAGAACAGAATAAAGAGAATGAAATTTCAACTTCTGATCACTCTGGTGTGATTCAGTGAAGAAAGAAGTACAGAAAATATCTCAAAATAATCAATTTCYATCTATCTCCCACTTGTTCTGAGTTACCTTAGTGCTGTAATGAATGTGTTGGCTTTTCAGGGAATGATTTTTTTCCCCACTGGGACAGTACAATAGGGTCGCCTGACCAGTGGAGGGCACTAAAATGCAATTTTAATATTTTACCAAGAGGAGGCTTTACAATCTAGAAACAAAAGAAGATTGGAATGCTTGGGAAAAAAATCAGGAAAAACAAAACCAAAATACTTTTGCATAAGAAGATAGTAAAACATTTTTCTCTGACAGTCTGACAWTTAGTGATTTTAAGGATTACCTTGTAATATCCCACATGGTCACTGACTGTTTTTTCTGGCTGTTATGGAAGAAGCTCTGGCATGACAGTTCGCACAAGGTTGGTTTTATTATAACAAACCAGTCCTATTCTGACAGCGGAGAGACAGCAGGTTCAGTTGGAAGGGGACTTAGAAAGTTACAAGATGACAGAGAAAGGTCATCTGGTGCTAAGTGAAAACTCTACAGAATGGCCAAGTGGAGGCCTTGCAGATGTCAGAGATGAGGTGGTACTTTCGATGCACACAGACATGAGAAAGCACAAGCATGTTGGAATAGGCTAGAGACAGAAGCATCACATCAGCTAGAATAACACTGAAGAATAAGCTTTAGGATTTCCCTTGAGGACAAAACAATCTAGAAGATTGGCAAAAATATGTTTTGGTCTTCATCTGGAATAAACAGCTACTGAAAAGCAGTTAATGATGCATCTGCAGTCATCATACTTAGCTGATCCATTCCTATCATGGCTATGGCTTTACTGGCCTTGTACTTGATACCAGTTCAATTTGCTTGTGGGTATCAAAATCTACCAAATCCCTTCCAGATTAAACTAATCAGTCTGACATCTAGAGACAAAGCCAGACAAAATCACTCTGTTAAAATATGCACTTTTTAAATATGATCATTATCAGGGCTCTGGTTGAGGTGGAGATGTTTTGTAACCTCTTCCTTCCCCTTCCATCCCTGGGGTTTAGCTCTCCGTACTTAAGGCCAGCTCTGAAATGGCACAGCTGTAATAGGATCAGGCTGCCGTGAAATGAGCTGCCTGAGACAAAGCTGTGAGCAGGCACCTCAGTGGCCTCCTGCCTTCCCTCAGGAACAGCATATAGACTGCGCTTGGCCCTTGCCTGAGCTACACTGCAGCAGTGTCCATACACACTTGTCTCCATTTGTAATTTAGCAAAATTTCAAAATGCCACCTATATATATATATATATATATATATATATATATCTTTTCCTAGCAAAATCCTAGTCTTTATAAAATCCTAAACAGGTTGTCTCTCATGTATTTTGTAAGCAAATATGCTTATTTCAAAGACTAAGCTGAGCTGCACAATCCTCATGTTGCTACAATGGAAAAATCAAAGAAGCAAGATATTACTGAAAACAGATTTAGGATAGTCTGAATTTTATCTAACAAATTTCTCGTGTAATATGGGAGTGATTCAGATCAGGTTTTCCAGTTGTAATCCACTTCACTGGTAAACTACCAAAAACGGACACAAATTTTGGATACTCTGTCCTTTCCTTTTCACATGAGGACACATGAGTACTACTGAGTCACTCAGCAACATAAAAGTTAATTTCTGATAGTGCAGTACTTTAACTACCGTATGGAATTTGAATTCTACTAAATCTTTCCCCTTTATCCTAGCTGTTCAAATAAAAATCTGGGCAACTGAGATTAAAGTAAATCAAATCTCAACTCCAAAACTCTGCCATAAACAACAGTTCAAATACATCTGTTAAAATAAAAAAGTCTGTGATGTACCTACCTTTCTACTCATGAAGATGTAGATGACTGGATTATAAGCAGTACTTGACTTGGCAAAGAAAGATGGGATGATAGCTACTGTTGGAGTTACCAGGTTGCCATAACCATATGTTACCAGCAGGGAGACCACTGCATAAGGCATCCAACAAATAAGGAATGTGGAAATCATTAAGAAACACATTTTAGCCACCTTCTTTTCATATTTTAGAAGTTTAATCACTTGAACAGTCTGAAAATCTTCTACACAGCGAAGCTGTACAAGAAAACGGAAAAAGGGGTAAATGTCAAACAATTTTATATTTATTTGTAATAATTAATTTCTTAGTTTTAGAACACAGACTGGGGACCTTATTTTAAAAACTACAGTTCTTCCGAAAGCTTGCATCATGCCTCCCAAATTTTTACTGGATATAGTAAATAATGTAAAAATATAATCTCAGGAGAAGCAGAGAAGTAAAGTCATTAGAAAACAGCTAATCCATTGATATATCAAAATATATTGCCCTTTCATTCCAAGTAGTTTAGAAAACTAATCTGTCCTTGTCCATCAATATAAACAACTTTGATCCAGTGTTTTCTCAGACTTTGTCTGAATGTGTAGGCAGTCCTGATTTAATTGGACTTAATCTCCCTTCAGAAGAATTTTACATGATTATTTTCTCAAGACAAATTCACAAAACACACAGTATACAGAATAAATGCCTCACTATTCAGTGTTCTATTGTGTTTTTTGTCACTGAAAACAAAACAGAATCACAGTGTGAATCATTATAGAATGAGTATCACCAAAATAACTTCTCCAACGACATCTTCTTTTAAGACATACTGAGGCAAAAGTGAGTCACACAAATGGAAAACAGGATATTGCATTAATAAAGATAACTAATTTTGGTTGAAATAGTAAGTAGCACCCGAGGGTTTTTGATGTCCAATTTTCATTAAAAGGCAGTGGGAGCCAGCCAAGAAGCTCTTTGCCTTTCAGATTAGTTCAAGGATATAATATCATGCAATTTTTACAGTTCTGACTGTGTTTACATTAGGCACTGTTTTTTGGCCTAAGAGGCCAACTGATGGCTGCTGTCGTGTCCATGGGGAAGACTACATCTCAGCAAGGCGAACAGCAATGCCCTCCAGCTGAAATGGAGCCTGACTAAAGAGTTTTCTATATTCCTCTTTTCTCACATCACATTGGGGTGCCATTAGATGCAACTGCTCAGATGTGAGAAAATTCTGCTTCTCAGGAAGATGTAGTTCTTTTCCAGTGACAACAACAAGCAGTTTCCTTTTTTACTGATTTAAGGAAGGTTCTCTTCCCTGTTGAGCACTGGGTAGAGGCAGCTCCCCAACTTGCCTTTTATCTGTGACTCACCTCCCAATAAAATTATACAATAAACAGTTCTTGGTAATTCTACATTGCTTCAACTACAAGCCTACATCCTTTCTAGTATTTCCAGATGTGGATGAATATTAAAGGCTGAAAAGTTCGAACGGCAAGCAAGGATCTACATTTAGGCTCTGCTCCATGCTTAATATACAGCATCACCCTATTTTACATCAACACTCAAGGACTAATATGTATTTTATTTTTCACTGAAAATATTCAATAAGAGAAGTCTCTCACTTGTATCAACTTACCATCCTCACTGCATATAGAATATGGCCATAGCAATAGGCCATGATCCCAACAGGTGCTACTAGACAGCCAAGGAAAAAAAATAGAATGAAGGAGATATCATTGGGGTCTTTTGACTTCCAGTCCATTGAACAACCTAATCCATGTATTTCCAGTGTGTATCTGTTCCATCCCAAAAGAGGTGCTCCAGTCCAGGCTAATGAATATAGCCAGATGTACGTGATAGCTCGCCAAGACCAAGAGAAATTGATCACTTTTGCATGGACCACTCGAATGTAGCGCTCATAAGCAAGAACAGTGAGAGTCATGATTGAAACAATTCCTGCGAAGAAAAGAGAGAAAACTAATTTAATCATTCACAAATATTGCATATCTGACTGAAGTCCTTTTAATAATCTGTCAGCAGAGGAAATAACTCTAAAACAACTAGCACACATTATGAATCTAATACAGATGAGCTTCCTGGGAGATATCTCAGTACTCTGTAAAGTACTAACTCAAGCAGTAAGACTGACTGCACACCTACTCCACATTTGGTAATGGAATCTGACCTATGGTGTATGATGGCAGACATGAAAGAATAACCTAATTAATACTTCTTTCTAAGTATTACTCAGTTAAATGAGAGTTTGTGTTCCAAGTTGCCATATAAAGATGACATGGTTCAAACTTGTTAGGGAACCTACGGAATTCAGAATTGAGACTGAGGTCAAAGAAAGCCTTCAACAATTAAAAGTGCAGAAATGCACTTTTAATACAAACACAATGACTAGTAGAATTTTGACTTCTCTTACAAGTTACTGAAAGGTTTGTGCTTCAAATAATGACTGATAAAGCAATATTTTATATTGCTAAACAAATCCCATCTGGAAGGTATCAGCTAGCTTTTTTTTTTTTTTAATCTTCCTGCTATCATATCAATACTATAGTCTTCATTTCAATTATTTCTGTATTCTTTTTTTTTCTTTCCTCTCAATCCCACTTGACACATTAATATGTTATGACAGAAATTTCAGGTTATTGTCAGCTCTCATCATTGCCCTAGCTAGTCACTTTTATAAGTTAATGAAGTCAAGGCAATTCTGTCTTAATTAGGACATAGAGATTTTAGTTTCAATGGTCTGTGAAAGTTAATGATCAAGAACTAATCTGCCCATCATGCATGTGTCAGTCAACTAAAATCTCTGCTGTGATTCAGTAATCAAGCTCATATACATTATCTCTTAAATAACATATCCTAAATACCACTGGGTTTGTTTCTCAGCACTCTGTGAGGTTACGCAAACATCTGTCTCTATATTAGTGTATATTTGTGCTAAAAAGTATAAATATTTTATCGTACATATATATGGCATTTCATTTACTCAGGTAGATAGGTATTTGTCATAACCTGCATTTGCACAGCTGTAAGAAGGTTAAACATGCAGATCTTGTTGAAAAGAAAATATCCTTTCTACCTGGTAGACACCCCCAAAGGATATCACAGATACATGAAACTCTGTTTCACTTTGAAAAAGGATAAGCATTAAAGAAGACAAATTAACAGTAATATCCTCAGGCAGCAGTAATAAGAATTTTAGGGAGGCAGCTGAGAATAACAAAATCTAAAGAACCACTTAACTTCAGTACTTCAGTCCCTGTGTCAATGTACTCATTAGCAAAGTCAACATAATATTAACAGCATTCCTCACAGGATCACCGTAAGAAACTTGCTTCATTCTGCAAGTATTAAAATAGCATCTTCTTTGAAGAGTTTATAAAGCTTTCTTGATTAACTTTATCAAACAGAAAGATTTCCCACTTGGATGGACAATGTGCCATTCTGTTGTCATGGCCCTTTGAAATGAAACTACAGACATTCTTTTTTAAAATGTACATTTTTGGCATCTGTTATCTTAAATTGTTCATCACAAGAGAAGTGGATATTGCTAGATAGGCAGAAAATAAGGCAGGGATGTTTTCACAATGAGTTTTGTATAGATTTCTCTTTTGGGGCATAAGTCACTGCTGTAAGACTTTATTTTTCATGGCCTAAGAAACAGGACTGATGAATTAGGGTTTGAGAGTTTCTAAAAGACTTGAGGGCCTTTTATATCACGCTAGCAAAAAGCCCTTCAAGGTAGCATCCTTTTTAAGAACCTAATACACTGAAGTTGAGCAAGATCTTAGCAGGAACTAGAAGAGGTTTACAGAATTATATGTATAATATTCTATGCTGTTATACTAGTTTATCTAAATGTTTTGTAAAACTCAATTCTATCTACTTCCTGAACACCAAGTAAGTAAAGAAATTTACCTCTTGTTGGTCTATATACATAAACAAGTGATTACAAAATTTTACCTGATGGGTGTTAAAATCATCCACAGACATGTTTGGGATGTGGGGGCATTGGAATATGGGGGGCATATTCACACCGCTCAGTTTACTGAGGCTTTGTGATCAGTGGAGAGAAAGATGAGCTCCTCGCCAAAGTCAAAATTCCTAAGTGGATCCCTTGTTCTTACCACTCTCTGAATAATTCTTTCCTTCCTAGTGGGGGCTGAGAGGACTAACCAGGTAAATGAGATTCTACAGCTGTATTTAAAAAACAACATCTCCATGTACTCTTAGTATTTCACATCTATTTTTGTACATGGAGTACTAAGTTCTGGCTGTACAAAATAATCAAAAGCATGTGTTTTGGTTGAACAGTCTGAAAGCGCAGGTGTGCAGGACCCACAGTTGCTGGCAACCAACTGAGTCACTGGCATTCTCAAGGAAGTCAGTGGGAGCACAGCACCTCTCAATATTGGCACTTACACACTGGCAAACCAGGTGTGCAGTCCCTTGCAATCTGCAGTTAAAATGCTTAAAAGAGGTACTTGAGTTTTCTGCTTGAATCCTAAGATGGACCTTGGTCGGCCAGTTGGGCAGTTTGTATTAAAATGCAAATACTTGTTCTGTTGAATACCAGGAAATGCCTGCTATCAAGCAGGCATGAGGCAAGAAATGAAGGTCACTGCATATTACAATAAATTCCTCTCTAAGGTGCAGGGTCTCCGCTGTACTAGGCTGTAGCTCTACGAAGAGAGCTTGTAGTAGTTAAGTGAAGAAATACAAAATGCACCATGGGATAATATAAATTGTATCTGTGTGGGGGTGTCCAAAAGAAGCCCCTTGGCTGCTGTGGCTCCATGGCTACCTGCCTATGAGAGACGACATGCAGAAGTACCTGTAAGAACAGCAACACTGAYATCGGTCACAGGGGAGTGAGTCATAACATACGTATTAGAAAGATAAAGCCCACAAGCTTTATCTTGATGGGAGGAGGCAACACATCAGTTCTGGTGGAGGGTGCTGTGGGATGGTGCTGTTCAGGACTTATTTGGGCTTTGCTGTTCTTGTTATTTCGGTGCCATTTCTGTTACACTACAGATGAGTTTGTAAGAAAACACTCAGTGTGTTCAAAGGGCAGAAGCTACCTCGAGACTCTGCATTGCATCTAACTGAATGTTTTTTTAAACAGTCAAAAAATCTGTTTTTATCTCAGATAAGGGATACCAAGGAGCTAGTCCCACCAAATGAACTGAACTGAACTACAGGCAGCCTCTCTCAACATTAAGACACCACTGAGTGGAACAAAAACAGCCAAAGGGACAACTTCTGGGTAATATCATGAGCATTTCAGAAGCAATTTAACTCACAGGAACAGGAATCTTTTTAGTGTACTGCCTTTTTGCCTTCTCCTTTTTAATGTTACAAAAAAAATATTTCCTGTCGTCATTAACAGCAGTAGATGAACAGGATGGATGGGTGTCAACACAACTTAAAATAAACAAGTAAACACAATTAGGAGCATCTGGATGGCCAAAATGAAACTGAGTGTCAGTCACTGACTACCTCAGTTAGAAGAATTTACAGGAGAAAGAACACAGTCATAAAGAGATTTCAAAGCGATACAGCTTCAAAGGTTTTGAAGGCAACCATCATCTTTATCTTATTAACATTAAGCCTATGCAATGTTTGCTATATATGCAGCATGAAATCACATCAGACTGGAGAAGATTATAAGCGTACGAAACACTAATGCAATTCCATAAAATGTATAAAACTTCACTACAACTGTAAGTTTGCTTGCCCATATTTATGTATAAAAATACAATATTTTTTTGTGACTTAGTCATTACTCTATAAAGATCTTTCTTCTTTTTTCAGAACTGATCCAATATACATATAACATACAAGCTAATAAGTTAATCGGTCTATTTTCATTATAGAAGAGTAATAAAGGTTAGAAAAATCTGCATAGAACACAGCTTTTTTTTTTTGGTTTTGCCAAGTCTAAGCAATTTTAAGTTTAGATCCATGATTTCAAGTTTTCTGATGTTATTATCACAAGCTCTTTGCCTCTTCAAAATACAAGCAGCTGCACAGCTCACAGTTACACCACAAACTGAGGAGTTGTTGCTTTCAGTAGGAATGATGGCTCATTCTTGGCAATAGCCTTCCAGCTTGTAAACATTTCAAATATTTCTTTTATGGCTAACGTTAAAGTATAAATAATGTTCAATGAGTACAGTTTTCAAACGTATCAAAACTACTCTGGAGCTTATGTTCCACTCAAAGCCATTGAGTCATGAGGTCCAAACTGGTTGCCATTTTGTGAGATTTTCCTCATTATTAAATAGGTCTTCCATACATAATAGCAAGAGTATAGTCAAAAAAAAAAAAAAATCACCATTACATATTTTTTTCATAAACTGCATCAATATGGAAGCAAACACAAACTAACATGAACACAAACATCAACATAAACTTTGAGAAAGACAGAGCACAGAGGAGCTCATGTAACTTTCTAAGAGCCTCCAGGATATACTCTTAAAGTAACTGGGAACTTAACGTTCTTATCTGTGACTAACCTTAAGCAAACTCTGGAAATATTGTACCTTATCTGAGTGTCCCAACTGTTGGGAATGTCAGCTATGTTGCATGTGCGACTTCTTCTCAAATGAGGAAAGTGGAATTAAATTGAAGTGGGCATGGGAACATCTATATTTTGGCAAGTGAAATTAACACAAATGGAAATTAGCTCTGATATCAAGGGAAGGTTTCAAGCAGCTGCTATAGTATATTCAACATACTAGAAATAAAGTACTGCTTAAACTTCTATAGCTCTTGATTATGATCAACAAATAAGATGGATGTATTTCCTTTTGAGATTTTAAACTATTGCCAATATCTCAAGTTATTGACTTCTTTTCATGCTAATCTAGGCTCCTACAAATCTACACTACTAACCTATTAATGCAAAGAACAAGATAACCAGAAAATATGACATCTAA